ACTTCGCACTGGAAAACCATAGCTCTACGATATCTAAGGCGCAAAGGAAATCAATGTTTCTTGTTTTTTGTTAGTAATCGCAAGATATGAAAAGATTGCACACGAAAAAACTTCACCAACTTTCAAGTGCTTTCACGATTGAGTGACAACTTCGCTGATTCGACAGACAATCAGGCAATTCTAAAAAGTGATCGGACAGCTGATCTAGAACTGCATTGGAGTGAAAGTTTAAGTTTGACGTTAAAGTTCTGTTAAAGCTTAAGTGCCATTCTTAGAACTGTACTGATTTTAAATGAAAACATACTAGAAAGTTAGAGATTTTCATGAAAATGAGCCTAGAAAAACAGGGATTTCAAGGTATGAACTTATGTTATTTAGACGGGTAACTCAAGCAGCACATATGTACCGAAAAATTACACGTATCAGTGGACAGTCTGATGCTTATGGACGATCTTACGGTAAACAAGAGATTTTATTTCATAACGGAGATAAGTATATGGGCGAATGCCAGAATGGTTTAGGGCACCTATATGGCACTTACACATGGAAGAATGGGGACACATATGTTGGTGAATTTAAAAATAATAAAAAACATGGTTCCGGCACATATACTTATTACTCAAATAAAAAGACTGAAAAAGGTCAGTATTACGAAGACAAATGGCAAGGAATAGGATCTGACGGGGCATGTATTTTGTGTTGAGATTTGTTGGTTATATTGCATCTATTCCTTATTTGAACAAGATATGATTATTGAAGCTCTCGAGACAGTTTCGTTTCTCTTCGACGAAATTTTTTTGCTTTTTACAAATAAAATCAAATAGCAAATCCTCATTCTGCAAGAGTATTTCTACGCGTAACATTCCATCGAGCATCGATCTTGAGGCTGTGGGTAAATTTACAAGATAATTCCAACATACTTTACGACACTTTTCGAACCTTCCTTAAAAATTCATCTTCAGGTAAATTAGGAATTAAATTCATTCCACATATAATATCAATTCCATATCAATAGAAAGTTACAGGAACCGAAATTCTCTATGTCAGTCTCATGTTAAGATAGAAATTTAATTATATATTTTTATGATTGTTTTTCATCTAGTTTTTATTTGCAATTTAGATATCATTTGATAAAAAATTCTTTCAAAGAATACTTGAAGATTATAGTGCAAGTTCAATAACATTATTAGTTACTGTTCAGAGTTTCAAAATGATCAAGAAAAATACTATCTTGAAATAACTTTAAAAAAAACTATTCTTGACACTTGCTTACTCAAAAATCGAAGAAATTTTTCAAGTTTAAGAATTTTTTAATAAAAATAATATTTAACGTGTTCTTTTTTTTCATCAATGAATTTCTAATGATATAAAAAAGATATGTAAGCAAATAAAAGAAGTGATAGATGTCAAATAATTTAGATGATTTATTGTATCTACTATGTACAGGGTGTAGATATAGATTAGGAGAAGATCTAAACCAACATCCCATCCACCTTCACATCCTTATAGAAACTATAAACTGCATCTAAAAACTTATATTCCATTCATCTATCAAAATTAATTCTTTCATTGTTAACAAAAAAAAAAAATATTCTTTCATTTTCGAAAATAACAGCTAAGACAATTTCGAAGAAGTCGAAGTCGTCTGAAGATTTCTCTAGCAAAGATGAAATCATGATAATAGTAGCTAGACTTACCCCTTCACCTTCACCTTCATAATATACAACTATGACAGAAATTTCGTTCTAGAACTGAAAATTAAAATGTCAAAATTAAATGTGCTGAGCTTGGTGAGACGTTTTTTTTTTGCGTAAAATCTAGAATTTATGCATAATCAACAACTAAATAGAGAAAAATGATCACAGATCAGAAAATATAACAACTACTCAATTCACTTGTGAAATTAATGAAAATACTATCACGCTGAAGTTTTGTTCTTTATATTAGTTTTTTTTTTTATTAGAAAAATGAAAAAACAATCAATACACAAAACAATAAACATCATTTGGGTGATTCTTTAATAATGTAATGATCATTTCCAAATGTTTCTCTAACTCCTTCTACTTCCATTTCATCAAAAAACGAACAATTTTTATTCCATATTTCGGCTATGAAGCCTTGATCAGGTGTGATATGAAAATGTTTCGATGAAGATGGATCATAACTTGGCCATTGACTCAATGGTCTTCCTATTGTTGCTACATTAATCCAATGTGAAATTATTTCATTAGAAAATACACGTGTTGAATTATCCCAAGTACAATTAAATAGTTCCTGTGAATGAAAATCACTAATAGTTCCGAATACAAATGGAAGTTCTGCTGAATGTCTACATATACCTTCTTCTTGCACAATAGGACATTGAGGATAACAATTTAAATGATATGAAAATAATTTATTTTGTTCATATTGTGGACCGTATTTTAAGTAAAAAGCATTGAATAATCGACGAATATCACAATCAAAAAGTTTATCTGTTGCTATTAAAAGAAGAATATTACAACAACGAGTATTATTAGCTCTTCGATCAGCTGAACAATTATTTAAATGATAATAATCAACAATTGACGGTATCCATTTATGTTCTACAGACTGACTTATTAATGCTAGAGCTTGAGTATAATTCATATCAGGATAGTCAAAACATAGTGATAGATCATAATCATTATTACCTACAACAAGACTAATATTATTATATTGTCCATTCTGAATTGCCAAAGGTGGATACAATGGAAAGAAATAATTGTCAATGATTGGTCTTGTGTAACGATCACCATAAACTTGAAACAAATCTTCAATCGAAGAATTACGTATACATGAAAGAACTTTTTGTTTATCTTCATTGGTACAATTTAAACGTTGAACAACAGAATTAGAATCATTAAGAGCAGTACTCTTATTATAATAAGATGAATAAGTTCCAGGTGAATCTAAACCTGACTGACTTATTACCGTTCGGTAAAGACCAGCTGATCCTTTCAATGCACCGATATCGATAACAGACAATCCTCCAGCACTTTGACCAAATAATGAAATATTGCTTGAATCACCTCCATAATCACGAATATTTTTCTTTATCCAACGCAGTGCAGATAACATATCTAAGTACATATAATTACCTGCTGTGGGCCATTCTGGATCTTCTTCGATTAATTCTTTCAAAAACATATCAGCTAATGCACCTAATCGATAATTAATTGTGATGATAATAACCGGTTGATTTGGTGGTGAATGAGCAATCATATTGGTACCATTATATATCAATGGAATACTTTGTGACGAGCATCCTATTTTATGAGCACCGCCATGAATCCAAACGAATACTGGTAATAATGAATGATTTAACGGAACTTTTGGTTTATAGATATTTAGATAGAGACATTGTTCATCTTGTTCAGGAATATAGGTATCAGTTTTTGGTTGTGGACAACATGGACCAAATGATGTAGCTTGAAATGAGATGTTTGGAAACATTTCTGATGCAAGATCAATTGGTGGTTTCCATCTTACTACTTTTGCATATTGAATTCTAATGAACAATCACAATAAAGTCATTCAATTGAGTAATGTCATCGTACCCTAGATATTCAATTGAACTTAGAGTTTGTCGACCATAGATGATTCCTTGTTGAGTTCGAAGTTCAACATTTGTAGAAGTGATAATCGTAACAATCCAAAATAATATCTGTGTTGAGAGCCAAAAATAAGTCATCTAAAGTAATTCAATACATATATACGATCTGATATACCGTGATGGATGTTTGACAAGTTTTGAGTTACGCTTAAAACAAAATAAATGACAAAAATGTGGTTCTCCTCTTATCGAATAGAAATCCAAAACACCTTGTCTTACAATCATTTTTTCTTACACCTTTGTTGTTGATGAGAGAGAACGTAATAAAACTATCTGTTTTATCCAACAACGACTAAACAGTGCATGAGATATCTTTGATATTTTGTATTCTTTTCTAATCTATACTTTTATCTTCAAAAAAAACACATCATCATAAAAACAGAACAGTGAGACAAATATTCGTATCTTTAATAAAGATGAACTATTAATTTATTTCACAACTGAACATGGTCGAGGTAGAAAAGTTTCAGTTCGCTTAATGTCAAGTATCTTCATATTTATGTCCTTGATTTAATCAAGGTTTTCTCAATGATTAGTGGTACCCAGTCAGATAAGACTATTAAAAAAACACATTAAAATCTCGTTAATTCGGTTTTTTTTTTCTGAACCAATTCAAACACATTGTAGCTAATTTTGTATTGATAAGATTGAAAGTTTCTGCTTATGTCACGTCAACAAGTGGCAATTATATACTATGAAATGTAAAGATGACAGTATAATACTTTTTTCTAAATGAGTTTTTGTTATCTTTTTTTTTGCTCTGTATCCCATTTTTTAAAGCAGCTCTTAAATTATTTATTCTAGTTGATAAATATTTGTTTTGCTGTTCTAATTCTCGATATTCAATTGAACTTAGCATATCCGCTGTATGTATTCGAACAATTGTGTTTGTTGATGATCGATTTTCACGTTTTTAACTATTTCCATTAAGTAATCGAATAATAAAACCATCAATATCAAAACAAAAGAAATAAAAAAAAACTTGATGATGATGATGACCACAATTAAGGAAAAGTGTCTAAACCCGTTAATATTTTGATTAAAATTATCATGAATATGAATGTTATCGACAACTGTCGTGTCGCTGAAATCGCTATAAAATCAGCGATTTTTAAGTAGTTTATCAGCATAATGTTATCCATTTTGTTGATTTAAATCGTTAATTTTTGTCTTTTTTTAAATGCTAGTGATTCATAGGTATTAGTATTCTATTAATTTACATTTATTTCAAACATCAATCATGAATTTGCACGTTTTAAAATAATAATAATAATAATCACGAACAAAAAAACCACATCATTTTAATTGAACTCGCGTAACGTATTTTGTTCATATAAAAAAGTACAATTACGAAATCATAGAATTAATATACAGCGTTTTTAGGTTGCCTAGTAGATAATTCTGTATAGCTAAATTAATGATATTTGATTCGGATGAAAATGAGTAAAAATTTTACACATTAGTTCTAACAAAATTAGTAAAAATGTAGCATAAACAACACATAGGCCTAAGTCTTTAGTAAATGTTACTATAAATGTAGCTGTAGGGTGTGGAATGGAAGTGTGCGAATGAAGAGAGAACCAACACCCACACCTACCCTTTAACATCAAAATAAATCTCTCTCTATTATCTTGATATCGATTTCATCTGTAGTTATTATACAACATCTTTCTATGAACCATGTTGTTCTTTGTACATCACATCTTTCAATAATATAAGCACCCTTTGTTGGGTTCAATTGTATACGTATTGTTTATCTCATGATATTTTTAATACACAAACAAGAAAGAATAATTTGAACTTTAAATCAATTCTTTGATAAGAAAATTATGTTGATTTGATGAAACTTTTGTTTTTATTTTACTAGAATCCAATTATCTTTAAGCACATTACGAGTCTTGATAATATAAAATGAAGTAACATTTGAATTTCTTGACAATGATAGTCTTGTTGATAGTAAAATTAATTAATTTTTCTATTTATTTTTACTGATTTAACTACTTTTGTTTCACTACATCCAACAGAGTTTGCTGTTTTAATACAAAAATAATAATAGACACTTTAATTTTATTAATCGAAAAAATTTGTAGTTATTGCTGATCAAATTCGTACTTCTATGTATTGATTATTTTTACCTTTTTCTTTTATTATATATTTCTAAGAAATATTCTATTGAATAAGAAAACCTTCAGCACTTGATAATGGTAGCCATAAATATTCAATTGAATTCGAGAATACAATTTTTATTAATAATAATGATCATTCTTCTGGTATATCTGAACTTTTAGCAATAAATAGATCCATTGTTATTAATATAGTATTGATATTCTTTATTTTTCGGACATAAATGAATGAATGTGACTGAAATCATGATGATTGAAAGATCATTTTTTTAAATTTATTGTAAACTTGAAAAAGATTACGATTAGTTTATCTTCAACTAGAGAAATTTTTACTTCTCTGTAGCAGAAGTGAATCATTTTTTGATCAAAACTTTTTGTATTATTAAAGCAACTAAAGAATAATAATATATAATATTATTAGAAAAGTCTTTATTTTGTTTTTTTTTATTAATAAATAAAAATTGATCGTATAATTAATTGAAAATATTTTTGAATAATAAAACATTGAAAACTTAATAAAATAATAAATATTGAATCATAATCAATATGATTACTTCCATTAACTTGTATAGCAAAAACAGTACTTGATGATGATGTTGCTGTTATTGAAAAACTTGTTGTTGTTTGATCACAATAAAGTGGTACACCAGGTAAATTACGATCTGGTTGACAAACAGCATTTTGTCCTAATACAGCTAAGACAGTATTATATGTTTGTGTTACACGTAATTCATTGTATTGATTTGAATTTGAATTGATAGCTGAAAGAATAGATTTTTTTTTTGTTTGTTTTTTTTCAAAGAAAAATATAATAATAAATATATTTAATAAAAAAGAAAATTATGAAAAGAATATTATTATTTATCAATGTTTTTGAACTTTTATTTATAGTTATTAATGTTGTAGCTTGTATAATACGTGCCCAACTTGTTGTTGTTTGTGCACATGGTATTAAAGTTGTTATTGTTGATAAACTTGGTGGAAATGTTGTTGCACTACCTTGACATGGTTGATCAAGTCCATAGATATACCATGTTTCATTTACTACTTGTTCAATAACACGTAATGTTTGAATATTGTTCGTATTAGATGTAATAGCTAACCGAATTTTAAGATAAAAAAAAAACAACAAAAAATCTTTTTTTGAATACTTACAAGGTAATTGTGTAAGTAAACCAATTGATAAACCAAGAAGACCAAGTAATAATGGTAGAAGACAACATAACCATAACCAACATGGACAAGCACAAAACCATTCAAGACATGAACAACATGGACAAAAACGAGAACACCAACCTGTACAACAATTACAACAACGATAACCGGGTACATCAGCATTCTAAACAAAACATAAAAAATAATAATAATTCTTTTAATTTTAATGCAAAATATTATCAAGTAAATATGTGTCTAATTTATTTTTATTCATTCTTTCAAATTTTAATTGTCACACATTAGTCAAAAAAAAAAATAATAAAAAATGGGCGTAGACATACAAATATCTAAAAACATTAGAATAGCTTCATAACATTCTTTTCGCGTGTATACACTGTCTTTTCTTTTTTTTTTTTTTTTCTTCTTTCACATCTATGTGAATAGAAACAATAATAATGTTTCGACATTTCTTCTCAAAGAAAAAACAATCTATGTGTGAAAAGTAAATCGTTTAATAAACACTCAATATATTATCAAATAATACGACTTACACGATATCGAACATGTCGACCATCTTTAGTAACTCTTGTTCTATATGAAACAACATCTTTTCTTCGTGCAAATGTATTTGTTCGACAACAATTCATTGAACCACAACAATCATCAAAACAATCACAACCTAAACAATCAGCTCCACAATTACCACACCATTCAGAACGTTGACCAACACGACGTGTTCTATAATAATCATCTTGATAATTAACAAGTGTACGACGATCATCAACAAGAGTATCATGAACATTATCATTAATAATTGTTGTTTTTTTAGTTGTTGTTGTTGTTATTGGTGGTGTTCCAACATCAACAATAACTGGTGATGTTGCTTGACGAACATCTACAAATCGTGTTGTACGAGGATTTTGTACTTGTATATATGATGTTGGTTCTGGAGTTGAACGTATAATAACTCGAGGTGTTGTTATACGTTCTGGTTGTGTTACAATAACACGATCTTGACGTGTTGTAGGATAAATAATTGTATTTGGTTCTTCAACAATACGTTCACGACGTACAATATTATACTAAAAAAATAATAATCAAAAAAACAAAAAATAATCTATTTTAAATATACTGTTTTAGCCGGTGGTGGAATTTCATTTGTAATATATGTATCTGATATAACTGGTGGTATAGTAGTAGTTTCATTTATTTGTGTAGGTTGTGTTATTTGTATTCGTGATGTTTGATTTTTTTTTGGTAATTTTTCTCGTGTAATTGTTTCTGTATAACGTATTGGTGGTAATTTTTTTTCTGTAACTGTTACAGTTTCAGTTGAATCAGGATGTTGTATTGTACGTACAGTAACTGTTTCTTTAGGTTTTTCATTTGGATCAGGATCAAGTTTTGTTGTTGTTGTTGTTGTACGTATACCATTATCATCATATGATACAATATGTGGTTTATCATCATATCTAGTAGATTGTGTTGTCATATTATGTTATTTCTTTCTTTTTTTTCTTTCTTATAATATGAATGTGAAATATTTCATTTGTATGTTTTTTAATACTCAGCAGGTGAATATTAATTATATATCGAACGGTATGATTTCCGAAAGTCATTCTCTTTCTTCTTTTTTTTTTTTTTTTTAATTTATTCATGATGAGAAACGGATGTCTATTGAAATTGATTGTAAAAAATAATGTTTTTTTTTATTTTACATGACAAATACAGCAAAAGAAAAGAAAAAAAAAAAAAAGAAAGTTTTATTTAGTTATTTCATTTAAAAAAAATTCGTCGAAGATTTTTCGATGTTGTTTGTAAATGACATTGTGGACAAATATTTTTTTCATTAAGATATTTCAACCAACATTCTTCACAATTAATATGCCAACAAATAAGTGATACACACGGTTTTATACACGATTCCTACTAGATTATAGAAAAATAAAATACAAATATTTTTTTTCTATGTTATTATAAATTTAATAAATCTCACCATACAAACAACACATTTAGGAGGATCAAGTTCATTTACATTTGATGAATATAATATATCACTTTTTTGTGTTGAAGGAGAAAATCTTAATCAACCAAAAAAAATAATAATCAATTAACAAAAAAAAAAAAAATTTTTTTACTTTACCTTTGATCACTGTTAAACGATTCTTGACATCGATCATCACTAGAAAAAGCAAAAATTAAAATTTTTTAAATTCTAATAAAAATCTTCTTTTATACCTATGATCTACTGTACTAGTTGTTTCATTAGTACTTTGTCGATTGCTATTATTATCTTCATGTTCAATTCCATCATCCATATCAACAACATTAACATCTGGATCATCTATTATTAAAATGAACATTTTTAATACAAAAAAAATCTTGTTTTTTATTACCTTGTGTTGATTCTCGTGTTTGTAATACTAATGGTGGAGCTGGTGGTGGTGGTGGTGGTACTCGATGTTGATTGGCTATTGCAACTAAAGCTGCATTAGCTGCTAATTGTTCTCTCTAAATCAAAAGAAAAAATTATAAATAAAACCTCCTTTGTTTTTGCTCTTGTATACTTTTCTTGAACATTGTTGAACATGTGTACAAAAATATTCTTCATCTGTATTAATTGGAATTATTTGATAACATATTGGACAATTTCGTGTATCATTACGATTTATTCGTCGATTATGTAATTGTAATTTAGCTAAAATATGATATTAGTTTTGTTTTGTTTTTTTCTATAGTAATATTTTTTTCTTACCATTTAAACGTTGTTGTCGACTTGTTCTTACTCGTATATATGTCTAGAAACAAAAAATGATTAAAAAGAAATTTTCTTTTTTTTGTATATTTACTTCATAACGTGTCTTAAATGTTTGATCGATATTATTAATTGTATTTTCTTGTAGAATCTATAATAATAAATGATTATTGTCTGATAAACATAGTCAATTATGATTAATTTGTGTATTAACAACAGATGAGAAAAAAAAAAAAAAACTTACTTTGCTATTATTACCATTTGTTAAATGTGATGAACGTCGTATTGAATATTTATATTGTTGTCTTGTACGTTCAATAGTATCAAGTTCATGTTGAATATGTGTTATCATATCTTGTCCATTTAATGATATTTGACAAATAGGACATTGTGGATTTTGTAAATCATATGTTGATGATCGACATCGATTCTCTAGAAAAAATAATAATAAAAAGGTACTAAAAGAAATCGACAAAAGTTATCTATCTATTCCATCCGGTACTCATTTTTTTTTGTTTTATTCCGTCTCATTAGTCAAGAGTTTGATTATTTTATGACTTCTTCTCGTTTTTTTTTGCTTCGCTTATGGATTACTATCATACCATATGTCTAAATAGCCTGATCATACAAATTTTATTTTTTGATTATACAGCTGAATATTTTCCTCGAAGTCAACCTGTCGATAATGTGTATATCAACAAAACTACAACAGAGAAAAACAAAACAAGAAGTCTAAGTGAAGAGTGATTTTTTTTTTGCCCTGAAGTCATGGATTAATATGACTGTTGTGCCTATCATATTCATTCTTATTAAATATCGATCAATCAATCAAAATCTTGTTTGATCTGAAAAGTTTTACATATAGTTATTTATGTAATAGAAAATTGTTTCTCACAGTTATATATTTTGTCACAAGAAACTGTGATTATTACAGGAAATTTGTAGTATGAGTATAGATAAACAAAAAAACGATAATTGATTTTTTTTTTGTTATGTGCTGTGTTTTTAGCTTGTTAATTAATAAACCCCACCCAATTCGTATGTGTGAAATCAACCGGATGGAGTCATCTTTAGGGCAAAAAACAAAAACAAAAAAAAAAAAAGCAGAAGAAATATTTCAAGTAAATCTAAGATTTTGAAGACAAGGAAAGAGAGAAAGAACCAATCATAGTTATATAAAATGTATTTAAAAATCTTTTTTTGTTCAATCAATAACTATGTTTTAGTTGAAATGTTTTTTTTTTGTTCGTACCTGAATATTTACCAAAACTTTCATCACTACTTTTTTCTGATGGTGATATATCACAATGATTTTCATCATGTGTATTATTTTTAAAACGTTTTCCTGTTGGTAAAAATGCAGATGATTCTGAGGATTCTGTTGATGATGATGATAATGATGAATTTGAATTTGTTGATGATGTTAATAAACCTGTTGTTGATGTTGTATTATTTAATAAAGGACGAAATGCAGCTGCATATGGATAATGATGAAAAAGAGTTGAAAATAGATGATGTTGATGAACTGCAGCTGCAGCAGTTAAAGATGGATGAGTTGAAGAAAAACGTAAATGATCAGATGATGTTTGATTAAGAAGTGTATTAACTGAAAATGCACCATTAGCTGCATTAAAAGCAGCAACAGCAGCTGATAATGAATTTTTATCTGGACTTGTTGTTGTTGTTGTTGTTGCTGTTGTTGTTGAATTAGGTGATGATGTTGTTTGTCGTATTGAACGAAATGCTGCAGCCATATCAAGTGATTGTATAGGATGCCACATTGATGGGTGATACATAATTTGTTATTTAGAAGATAATATAAAAATAATCAAATGATAATCTTTTTCTTTGTTTTTTTTCTTTTTTCTTCTATGTATGTGTATCAACTGATCTCTCTTGTCTAAGTTTATCTTTTCTCGTTGTCGTTATACAGAGTTGACTTCTCTCTTCTACTCTGATTGAGTTCGCTCTTGTAGTTCACTGGATTTCTCTCTCTCTCTCTGTCGCTTTTTTCTTTTTTCTTCTTGTCTCTCGGTTGGAAAGAGAATTGGTTAAGAGTAAAAAAAGAGAGAGTACTGTTTATTGATTGGTTGATAATAACGAAAGAAGAGAAGAAAAAAAAAACTACTCTTACATATACATATATGTAGATACTCATTCAAGCGAAGATAGAAAGAAAGATGTGTGTATATATTATATACATCGAAGGACATGACTCTGCTTCTTTTTGAGAGATAGATGATTGAGTTTTTCTTGCGCCAGTTGCGACTATCAACATTCTTTCTTCTTACATCCCTCAAGCAGCTCATTGTCGACATACAATAATGTATAGAAAGCAAAAAAAAAGGAAAAAGAAAATAAACCATTACTACCAATAGGAGAGTACGTCTTCGTTGTCTTTCTTTATAATAATTGGTTGTTTAACCAATAAACGAGTAAAAAGAAAGCAAGATACACAATATGTGAAAATAATCGAGCAACCAACTTCTCAAGCAAACAAAAGAGAGAAAGATTCTCATAATATAGTTATATGTATGTATTTGTCTGGCTATATTGGCATATGTCAGAAGAATGGTGATAATCATAATAATAATATTCAAAGATTTATGTATATATAAGAATAAATCATATATGTATAGAATCTTTTTTTTTTTGTAAGATTTCAATTTAAATCCGATCGTGTTATTATATAAATTTTTGTTGACATAGCAGATATATATTAACTTTTTTTTTCAATATTAACGAACAATATTTAACACACAAAAAAAAAAATAAGAAAAGGTGTGATGTGTCCGTCTATATTTAAACGAAAAGAAAAAAAAAGGTTTCTTCAAGTGCATGGACACGTATTTGCATATCTAATGATTATAACAAGAGCTTGATCATGCATTTTTCTATATATTACGTTTGTCATCTATTCATTCATTCGCGTAATACAAACAGGATACACTTGTGCGCTCTCTTATTTGGCTAAAAAAGAAAAAAAGAAGAAGAATGAGGAGAACTATACTGATTGTTTGTTCTTACGTTCGATGTCATCATCAAGCATGATCGATGGGTTTCTTTTGTATCCCTCTCCTATCCATGATTTCTTTTGCTCGCTCATATATTAAAATTAGGTACGAATGATGAGACGAGCAAGAAAAGAATGATAGGCGCATTAGAACGAATCACTATTTGATGAGCATGTAATCAATAAGAAGTATCATCAATCGATAGAAGAAGAAGAAGAAGAAGAAGAAAAAAAAATCACAGTGATGAAGATAGGTTCATGTCAGTCATATATTCATTTCTACATATATATTTTTCTTTTTCTTTTGTCGCTTCAGGCAAACATCAGTGACAAACATTGAATATATATGTGAAAACGAGTCATTGATAGTAGCTGTTGCTGTTTGTCTGTCATCTTGTGATACTTAGTGGCTCCAGATGGTTTGTATGAGTATGTGTCGTTTAAACAAGATGACTTTTCTTCTCTCGTCATTCAACATATACTCAATTGAAGTTTATAGGCAAGACAAAAGCAAATGCGAATAAGCATATAAGACCAATTAACACATTGAACAAATTATAAATACATTCTTTTAAAATAGATGAATGTCGCGGTTTCTTCTTTTCTATTTCTGTGCCTCATTGCAAATCGTTTTCTATTGATGTGATGCATCAATATACAATAAGAATGACAACTCTTTTTCTTTGCATCTATTTCTTCCAAATCGACTGTTAATAAACGAGATCGATGAGTGTGTGTGTGCGTGTGAGCACATATGGAAGATGGCAGGTATATAATTGAAAAAAAAAATGTAATCGATGCACGCGTGATCTTCTGTCAATGATAATTGATCGGTTATTGATGAGTTTTAACTATTTCTTTCTTTTTTTTGTCTTTGTCCTTTATTTGTCTTACTAAGTTATGTGTCTGAAAAAAGATCAAACGTTCATAATAGGGACTACTGCTGTTTTGTATGTTTGTATTAAATGTATCGACATTGATGATTTTCTTTTTATTTTGTGTTTATATCATTTAGTCGGAATAGAAGATTTATTTGTCATATATATATATATTTTACCAGTATACACATTAACAGAGATCAAAGATATGTTAAAAAAAGAATTTTTTTTGATTTTTTCTACTATGAATAAATGCAACTAATGATTCAAGTATTGTTTACTTTTGTAAAACAGTGATGACAACTAATATTATGCAATTGTCTATACAAACGAAGAATATGTTTCTTCTAATGGAATTTAAAAAAAAAAAGATAAATTTTATGGTTCTCTGAAGGAAAAAAATAAAAATAAAAACTTTCCAAAATGGAGTGGAATGTTACACTCTAGACATCAATTAGGTCACCAGTGCTTTTGTATGTATGATGTATTTTATACATCATAATAGGAAAGTATGACTGGTTGCATGAAAATAGATGTCGTTCTTTTTTCAGATTCTTCTACTCGATACGTACATTCACATACACACGTAATTCAATCATACACAAAACAGAGTGAGGGTAAATGTGTTTGTGTATCGTTTAGAAGAGTCCTTTTTGCTTTCATTACCATTATTTATTTTATTTCTCAAGACAATTTGACAAACATAAATGTATAAGTTATTGTTTAAATGATGATGGATAGTACTTGTCATTAGATATTTCTTTCTACTCTAGGGATTCACGATTTAATAATGAATCAATAGCTTATACACAATTTTTACGTACTGGTTTTCCTCCTCCATTTGATATTACAATAAAAGGTATGCGTGATAGAACTGAAGCTTTACATAAAAAAATTAATGAAAAATTGATTGGAACATTCAAGGGAATAGAAGAAGAAAAAAATATTAAAATTAATAATAATACAGGTAGATTGTCAAATAA